TCAGCATATGTTGCTAATGTTGTTAAGAGAATTGAAGGGTCTGTTTTAAAAGATGTTAGCAATGACACATTGTGTCTTTGGCTTACCTGTCTTTATCAAATTTTGTTACACAGAACTAATCCTTACTTTGTTGCTCACATTAGAGCTCACTCTGGTCTCCCAGGATTTATGGCAGAAGGGAATGCACGAGCTGATGCATTGGCATCAGCAGCGTGTGATGAGAGAACTGCAGGAGCCATTAAAGATTGCGCTTCAGGGCTTCCTGCAGCTGCCTTACCGAACATTGTTGGACAAGCTAAATTGAGTCATGCCTTTTTTCACCAAAATGCACAGGCACTCAGACGAGACTTTCACATCTCCCTAGAGCAGGCACAAGCCATTGTACGGGCTTGCTCTGACTGCCAGCTTGTTCAGCCTATCTCTTCTACGGGAGCAACCAACCCAAGGGGGTTGTAAAGTTTGCAAAAGTGGCAAACAGATGTCACAAAGTACCCTTCTTTTAGGAAATTTAAAAATATCCATGTCTCTATTGATACATTTTCAAAAGCAGTTTTTGCATCTGTACGTACAGGAGAAACATCTAAGCATGTTTGCCAGCATTTTTCACAAGCATTTTCTTCATTAGGTGTCCCTCAAGAAATCAAAACTGATAATGGTCCTTCATATGCTTCACAAGAATTGGCCACATTTTTAAATGACTGGGGTGTTCATCATACATTTGGTATTCCCTATTCTCCTACAGGTCAGGGAATGGTAGAAAGAACACATCAAACTCTAAAACGCATTTTAGATCAACAAAAAGGGGGAGGAGTCCAGGATACACCTGAAAGAAAGTTGAATAAGGCTTTGTAATGTCTATAACTTTTTGAATAGCTCTGCAGAAGAGCCAGATCCCCCTATTTACAGACATTTCAAGAACAACAAAAAAGCAAAACTGAAGGAACACCCTCCAGTTTTAATTAAAAATCTAGAATCAGGAAAAATAGAGGGACCATTTGATCTTATTACAAGGGGCAAGGGGTTTGCGTGTGTTTCTACAGATACAGGACTCAAGTGGATTCCAGCAAAAAACGTGAAACCGTACCACCCCTCAAAGCCCGTGGACGCTTCCACATCAGCCGGTGACCCTGCGAGTGGAAGCCGAGAGACAGGCACGCAAACGTGATCTACGCAGAATCACCCAGAGAAAACTGTCCGCCAGAAACTGTTCAAGAAGAGAATGGAGTTGTATTATAATTTGCGCGGGTCTATGTTACTTTTAACCTTTTGTTTTTATCTTTGCAGTGAAGCTTTACCTGTAACTCAACCAAAAACAAATGTTTGGGTTTCTTTAGCCAAGTCTGCAGGCTCTGACACCATTTGCTTATCTAACACTAGCCCTGATAAACCTTTTTCAACTTGTTTAGTTGGAGTGCCTTTCCCAGAAGGCTTTGATAATGTTACTTTTGAGAAATATTGGCCAAAAGTGGCAAACAGATGTCACAAAGTACCCTTCTTTTGGGAAATTTAAAAATATCCATGTCTCTATTGATACATTTTCAAAAGCAGTTTTTGCATCTGTACATACAGGAGAAACAGCTAAGCATGTTTGCCAGCATTTTTCACAAGCATTTTCTTCATTAGGTGTCCCTCAAGAAATCAAAACTGATAATGGTCCTTCATATGCTTCACAAGAATTGGCCACATTTTTAAATGACTGGGGTGTTCACCATACATTTGGTATTCCCTATTCTCCTACAGGTCAGGGAATGGTAGAAAGAACACATCAAACTCTAAAACGCATTTTAGATCAACAAAAAGGGGGGGGAGTCCAGGATACACCTCAAAGAAGGCTGAATAAGGCTTTGTATGTTTATAACTTTTTGAATAGCTCTGCAGAAGAGCCAGATCCTCCCATTTACAGACATTTCAAGAACAACAAAAAAGCAAAACTGAAGGAACACCCTCCAGTTTTAATTAAAAATCGAGAATCAGGAAAAATAGAGGGACCATTTGATCTTATTACATGGGGCAAGAGGTTTGTGTGTGTTTCTACAGATACAGGACTCAGGTGGATTCCAGCAAAAAATGTGAAACCGTACCACCCCTCAAAGCCCGTGGATGCTTCCGCACCAGCCAGCGACCCTGCGAGTGGAAGCCGAGAGACAGGCACGCAAACGTGATCAACGCAGGATCACCCAGAAAAAACTGTCTGCCACAAACTGTTCAAGAAGAGAATGGAGTTGTATTATAATTTGCGCGGGTGTATGTTACTTTTAACCTTTTGCTTTTATCTTTGCAGTGAAGCTTTACCTGTAACTCAACCAAAAACAAATGTTTGGGTTTCTTTAGCCAAGTCTGCAGGCTCTGACACCATTTGCTTATCTAACACTAGCCCTGATAAAACTTTTTCAACTTGTTTAGCTGGAGTGCCTTTCCCAGAAGGTTTTGATAATGTTACTTTTGAGAAATATTAAAAAAACTTTCCAGATCTGTAACACTACTTTCAAAAACATTATTGTGGAAGCGGGGAAGAAACATTGGGGGATTTGTCTCTACAAAAAATATTTCTAAATATTTCTAAAAATTAAAAGCTAATAGAAAAGAGGATTGCCTTAACAGGATTCTAAAACTACTTTGAAAATTTGGAAGCTGATTTTGGAAGCTCTCAGTCAATCTTCACTTGAGAACTTCCCACAGCCTTTCCTGGGGGCTTTTGCCTTCGGCCCTGGAAGGAGGGGGCCTCAAGTCACCACAGAGCTTGGTGGTGCTAAAAGTAAAACTCGTCTGAGTCAGAGATGGTGCTGTTGCTCTTCCAGCAGAAGAGATCTTGTGTCCAGCCAGCAGCTTTCAGTTTTTCTTCAATGTGATGCCTGTGCAGAGAGAGGAGGATGGCACAGACAGCAGCCAAATCATCCTGCAGCCTCAGGGCCTGTGGTACAAACTCACCTCTCCTCCTGCCGCACCCGCCTCTTCTCCCGCTCCCTGGCTGCT